TTCTCCAAACGTACTTACCAGAATTCCAAACACTCCTGCGTAGGAACATTGCAGGAGAAGTACAATCCACGAAACAGACTTCATGAATGGCCTCATCACTAATGGTAGTCATAATTAAATACCTGGTGACCAATGGGGGCAAGAATTGCTAGTGTAACATTTTAGAATAACATGCATTTCCTATATATATATGAGAACAAATGTATTCAATTCCATGATACTTTTAATCAAAAGTAAAAGAAACTAGTAAATCCGTTAGACTAAGTATTGGAATATATTTTACAGTGCCGCGGACACGCCATTGTGACCCACCCAATAACAATACCAATTTGGTCATTCTTTTCAAGGAAGTTATGTTTTGCCGGCGTTTGATTTGTTCTTTGTCTCTTGGTCTATCTGTTTGTCTACCTAGGTATGTGAGCAGAATAACTAAAAATGTACGAAGATATTTTCCTGGAATGTTCAGGAGAGATTGCTATTGACAAGAGGACCAGTCCAACACGATGCATGGATTATAACATATGCAGACATTATCAAATTAGTTACTTTAATACCAATGATAAGGGTTTATTCAAGCAGTGAATTATACGTGTTTCAATAAATATTTATTAATTATATATTCGGTTTCCCGTCTCTCCCAAATTACAACAACACACAAGAGTAATAAAGTAGTTAATCAGTTCGTATGTTATGATTTAGTATTATATTTCTAATGTCTATAGAAACAAACTGTACCATGGGTAATTAAAGATTATTATTGTTCATTGCATGAAAGTAGTAAAAATGTGTATGGTCCATACGCCGGGGAATTTAAAAAAGTAAAATTCAGACAGTCGCACTTTTAATCGAAACTCAGACTTGTATGTATGACGCCATAAAGTTGAATCCACCCATCCATGTCTTACGACTGACATAAATAATTTAGCACGCTTTACAGTTGGACGTCGACGTCGTCCGATGAAATTTCAGCTATGAAAACACAATTAAACACATACACAGTATATGATAGAAAATAAGAAATGTTTAAAGCGCGCTGGTCGTCGCGCAGCGCGTGTTCGAATTTCATGTAAATAAACAATGTATTTTACACGCGTTGTATACGTCACTATAAGTCCCATATCGAACAGAACGCGGCGCGACGACTGCCGCCCTTTAATGTTTTTCGTTTTTGCCAAAATTGTATTCTCAGACAACTACCTTTCTTAAAAGATGCCATAATTGATTCAGCAATAATTTTATTATTTAATGTTACTTACTGTGTTGTGTATATGTCAATGAAAAGTAGCATACTATAGACTAGGTATTTGAGTATACACACCTTAGATAGAACATTGCAATGCTGAGTGAGGTCCATTAAATGACCAGGCTGGTCGAAAACAGTACCCTCTGGCTTAAGTTTAGTTAGTATTTAGTAACCGTGTTTCCATCGTCAAGGTGTTGTGCACATCCTGTTTGATCCGAGCATTAAATGTACTTGCCTGAATCGAATCCACGGAACATTGTTGCTAAGCTACATTATTTTCGTACAGGTGAACTACAATTCACAAAATTGACTTCTTAAATAGCGTCACCACTGATGGTAGTACTAATTATATGCCCTGGTGACCACGGGAAGCAATAATTGGAAGAAAATTGCATAGTCAAATCCCCCACTGGTGATGGTGTACAAGGATACTTTGTACAATGGTACAATGGGATTGTTTTGAAAACTGTAATTTCAAGAATGCACTTCTTATTTGCCGTACAACGGCGTCCAGTTGTTTACCCTGAGTTTTTTGTGGACCTCTTACTGTGATCATGGAAGGTACTAATGTTAGTACCTTCCATGCTGTGATGGGCTATAGTTATGCCGGAAAAGAAGATGGTGCATATGGTTACAGGGTTGCAATTGTAACTGGCGGTAACATTAGTAGTTTACACGCTACACGAAGTACGGTATAATATTTAGCTAATCACACGCATGGGGGACACAGTGGTTAGCAGGGGCATAAGGAACGCCCACAGATATTACATTATCTACAAGAGAACAATATCACTATATGTGCTCGCGTTGATTGTCATGTTGGAAATGGCATTCTGAAATGAATAGTTATGAATATAATAGTAAATCTTCCAAACGTACAATGAATACAATAACGATTCAGCGTTCACACACACTTCATTAGCCTGAGCTAAGCATTCACACACACTTCATTAGCCCGTGCCATCGTCCCTCACGGTGCCCGTGCTAAGTATCTGGCCCAGGTCTTAAAAACGGGCTATATTTCCTAGCACGTTCCAAGATATTTGACCTCTTAGCTCGTGCTAAGTAGCTGTGCGTGAACGCCATTAACGTGAAATCGGGGAGGATGTGTATGAGTACATAGTTTGATAATTGATTCCATGTGAAAAACTGTTCTTAGTATGGCAGGCTGCCTAATTTGATTTCATTCCCCATTTACTTATTGTTTGTTTTGTTTTTTGAACAAAGTACAATATACGACTTGCGCTGAATATGTGACATGGACGGTGCATGTCTGCATAAATGAATCGTTGTGAAGCGACATTTATTTCGAATTGTTTTGCAAACAAACAACATTATGTGACGGGCGGTAACTGTCAGCATAATAATCGCGCTGTTCATTGCCAGTAATCCACTTCTAAAAGCTTTCTAAAATACCTCTGAGTGGAATTTAAAATTATGAATGTGGATATACGTGTTTTAGTTCCGTCCGACGCCATTACGGGGACTAAAGCATCGTTATTAACGTGTTATAACTAAATATCCGCCAGTCAGTCAACATCGCTGAAAATGCATGTGCAAACATTATAATTTGGAACACTGTTGGATGTCTTTAATATATTGACAACATTGGGATGAAACCAGTAACACAAGAGAAAAATAAAATAAAATCTCCTTGCTGTTATGTAATTGTAAATCCAGTATTATATCACGCATGACTTAGTGGTATATTAGTGGAATCTTGATATAATGCAAACTGCAACGCCGTGTTCAGAGGCATGGATTATAATCTATGCGGATATTATTAGATCAGGTACTTGTTAAGTCCACTTAATCACGTTATTTTCAAGCAGTGAATTATACGTGTTTCAATAAATATTTATTAATTATATATTCGGCTTCCCGTCTCTCCCAAATTACAACAACACATAAGAGTAATAAAGTAGTTAATCAGTTCGTATGTTATGATTTAGTATTACATTTCTAATGTCTATAGAAACAATTGTAATTATATTTGATGGTTGTGTCCATAAAATATGCCAATCAAGGTAAGAAATCTACAATGAAAAATTTTAACATTTTCTCTGATTACACAAAACGATATGTTCAATAAAGAGACGGTAGACACTGTGAATGTGAACTTGAAAAAAGATAAAAAAATATGTTAAATATTTAAATTCTCTTGATGCAAGTGGTAAAATGACAAGTTATTTTGTGAGGACAAATTCTCTTACAATAAGTTATTTTAATGTAATTTGAGTTCAAAAAACGTTTAACTTGACAAACATTGCCAAATAGATTAGTATATACATTTTATAATTACGATACTGCCATGTTGGGCGCCCTCTATGTTTTCTGTAATCAAGCGTCAACTGCATCATTAATATCCGTTAAAGGGCGGTAGTCGTCGCGCCACGCATGC